GAACACAAATAAACTATACTTGTGTTTAAACATTCTTTAATAACCACATCGACAAAAACAGGGTCCGCATCGTATATAGCTAAATCACTACTCAATTTTTGAGTTTTGAATTGTTTTCGTAATTTGAGAATTCGACTTGTTTTCGGTAATCCATCATTACATAATAACACATAAAAACTCAAATAAAATACACATAATGCAAATTAATGCTAAGAATGAAAAAATAATCACCTATTTCAACATACATGTCCTTAGTACATTTAATTTCAATTTCAAATTAATCGCTTGAACAATGACTCAACCGGTTGCTTCTCATATAGACGAAGTAGAAGAAATGTTAACAAACAATCGTATTTGGAAACAACGACTTGTAGATATTGGTACTGTTACTGCACAACATGCTATGGATTGGGGATTTAGTGGTGAAATGTTAAGAGATTCAGGGGTTTCCTTGGATTTGAGAAAAGCAGCCCTACAATGTTTATGACATAGTAGAATTTGATGTACCCGTAGGTACACGAGGAGATTGTTATGATCGTTATTGTGTCGGCATTGAAGAAATGCGACAAAGTCCTTGAATCATTGTTTAATGCTTGAATCAAATGCCTAGTGGCATGATCAAAGTGGATGATCGTAAACTCTGTCCTCCACGCTCTCAAATGAAACAATCCATGGAATCCTTAATTCATCACTTTAAGCTTTACACGGAGGGTGTGTCTGTACCAGCTTCTTCTACGTACACCTGTGTAGAAGCACCCAAAGGAGAATTTGGTGTATATTTAGTTAGCAACGGAACCAATCATCGTTATCGTTGTAAAATTCGGGCACCTGGTTTTGTTCATTTACAAGGGCTTGATTTTATGTCGAAACATCACCCGAAGTTCGCAATGACCCAGTACTTGGCTTTCTGGACCATTATTCCTAGACGGAATCCTCTACTGGCTCGAAGCCCTGAGTCCTATCGCAAGTCGTGGCCCTGCCTACACCTACCAGCTTGCCACTAGAGATCATATTTCTGTCCCTGCAGATCATAACCTCCAACTGGGTGCTAATCAAGCACACTCTTAAGCAGCTTTGTCCCTCAACCCTTGACATAGCAGATCCCCTTGACCGATCCCCCCTTGGGCAGGTGTAGCGTCTATCTCCCTCCTATTAGTATACAGTATCCTGTCCCCTCTATTATCGTCTACCCCCACTATTCAGGAGATAGGCCCATTACAATCCTTAACCAATCTATACTTTATCGGCATCCTCT